GGGGACGGGGCGGTTGGTTCCCCGGGCGGGGTCCAGCAGCAGCCACCGCCTCGTAGTCTTTGCCGCGACGCAGCAGCCGACAGAGTCGTCGTCCCTCCAGCCCCCGCCCCGCCCCGCCGCGACACTCTCCACGACGACGACCGCAGGACGACGCTGACCACCACGACGACGCCTCGCCCCGCCCCGCCAGCAAGAGCGCCCAGCCCCTCGGCTGTGACATGCTCCTCAGGAGCCTCGCCGCCGCGGCCGTCGTGCTGGTGCTGAGCTTCTCGTCGCCGCGGAGCGCGCTCGCCCGCTCCCTCGACGCCAGCGCAGGTAACTTCCTGTCCCGTTACAGCCTAGTCAGTAGTCAGCCCAGCTCGCCGCCACCTCCCAGGAGGTGAGCTCCTTGGCCGTGAGTGCGGCTGCCGACAACAACAACGTCACCAGCAGTACGGCTCCCTGCTGACGCGGGCTGCAGGAAAGATCGATCGATTAAATGCCTCCGTCACCTCTCGCCTCGTGCCATTGTCAAGGCCTCCCCCTCCCCACAACACAACCTCTCTTCTCTTACTCTCCCTCTCTTCCCCTCTCCCGAATCGGTTCGCCCACGTGGCTGCTGAAACAATGTAGCTACTGTGCTATCAGCAGCATCTTGCCGGTGCAGGCCGGCCTGGTGCAGCCGCGCATCGCTCCACCCCGCCCCGCCCAGTCCGGGGTGAGGTAGGGTAGGGAAGGGTAGGACACTGACCCGCCGCAGGCCCCAGCATCACCAGCAGGACCCGTCTTCACAGTCCGAGTCAGGGTGACCGGTCGGCCCCTACCGGCGGAGAACCCCGGAGTGCCAAGCCCAACGCGCTGGGGAACTCCTTCAGAGGCGAATTGGGACGGCCGCGGACCTGGCTAGGGAGGCCGGGAAGGGCCTACGGAAGACGGCGGGCGGCACCCGCGACCACGACGCGGGCGGGTGGCCACCGGCAGGCCAGCGGGCCCTCGCGGTCCGCGCCGCGGCCAAAAATGAAATCAGTCAATAAGGCACTCAATGGGACGGGCAGGACAGCCAGTCGGTGACAGCTGACGGCAGCTGACAGCCTCGTGGCGCGCTGCTTTGTTGTGGCCCCGCGTGACCCGTGAGGTTTGAACCAGCGAGCCAAGGTCAAGGTCGGTCCTTCCTTGGGATCCCACCCGTGCGCCGCGTCCGCACCGCGTCCGCCCGCGGACCCACAAGGCTCTCGGCCTCAGAGCGGCGGTGCTGGTCAGAAGGTCCCAGGACGCCCGCCGCACCGGCGACCTGCCGAGTGCCGGGGTTCGCTGGGCTGGCGGTGAGGAGGGTGGCCGCTGACCGCCGGCGCGAAGCTGTCACTCTCGCTGTGTGCCCGCGGGGCCCAGGTCAAAGGAGCAGGGGGAAGGGCGGGGGCAGTGCAGGCGGGACGTCGGGGAGCCCCAGCCCCGAGGAGGCCCCGCCACAGCCAGAGCGTGTACAGTCGCGAGGGCCTCGGCTTATGGCGCGATGCGGCGCGGCGGGGCCGGCCCGGGCCACGATGAGTTAACTTGTCCGACTCCTCACGCTGGCCGCGACACACAGAGGCCCTGGCCGGGCTGCGAGGGACCTGGGGGCCTATTGGACATGGGGAAGTGTGCCCCTGCTTGCTTTCAAAAACACCTAGGGGTGGGCTACAGTCAGGGGCGGATCTGGCTCGCAGTTCAAGGGGGGGCAAAAATTGCGGGTTGCCTACTTCCAGGGGCACTTTTTATGTGCCAAACAAAAACTTATTTCCCTAATTTTTATGATTTAAGGTCTGAAAATATTTTGGGGCGCACAGTAAAATTTCCCTTTTGATATTTATTTTTAAAGTTCAAGCACCGTCGTGTATGCTAGAAGTTACAGAGATGCGGGAGAGGGATTTGCGAGCGAAGCGAGCGAAAATT